GCTTAGGGGGGAAAGTCTATAGATTTATCGATGACTACTCGAGGTTAACTTGAATTAAATTTTTATCTCATAATAGTGAGTCTTTTGATGAGTTTAGATCCTTCTCCACTTGGATTCAGAAAAAATTAGGTTGTGAGATCTTGACCATCCATAGTAACCATGGGGGAGAGTTTGAAAATGAGAGATTTAGAGACTTTTGTGAGGATAAGGGGATCAGCTATAACTTCTCAGCTCCTAGGACCCCTCAGCAGAATGGGGTAGCCTAAAAGAAGAACATGACCTTAGTGAAAGTCGCTAGAGACATGCTTGTTGAGTATTCACTTCTAAAATACTTTTGGACTGAAGAGGTAAACATATATTATTATGTGTTAAATAGGGTGAATGTTAGATCCAAACTAGATAAGATACCCTATGAGATCCTTAAAGGTAAGACACCCAATCTTTCCCACCTCTATATCTTTGGTTGTAAGGTTTTCATTCATAACAATGGGAAGTCACACTTATGGAAATTTGACCCAAAATTTGATAAAGGATTGTTCTTAGGATATTCAAGTGTTGGGAAATCCTTTAGGGTGTTTAATAAGAGGACTTTGGTGGTGGAGGATACTACTCATTTAATGTTTAATGAATCTTATCCTAAGAAGTCTAGAGTTGAGGATAAAGATGGTGATAGAGAGATTTCCAAAGGAGTTGAAATTTTGGAGAAGAGGGTAGAGTCCCAAATCACTGAAAAAGTAGGTGAGATTGCCAAAGGAGTAGAAAATTCAAATCTAGAGAAAAGGGTTGATCCTACACACACCTTGCCTAGGGATTGAAGATATTCTTTGAGTCATCCTAAATAACTGATCTTAGGAGACCCTTCTGAAGGTGTTAGGACTAGGCATGGACTTAGGAAGGAAGTGAACCACTCTGCCTTTATCTCTATGACTGTACCCACCAATATTAATCAAGCCTTATGTGATGAGTTTCTGATCTTAGCTATGCATGGGGAATTAAACCAATTTGTTAGGAATGATATTTAGGAGATTGTAGAAAGACCAAAAAGACAAAGTGTAGTTATAACCAAATGGGTCTTTAAGAATAAGATGAATGATTCTAGTGTGGTGATTAGGAATAAATCAAGATTGGTGGCTAAGGGGTATAACCAAATAGAAGGGAATGATTTTGAGGAGACCTTTTCCCCTGTAGCTAGATTGGAAGCCATTAGAGTGCTACTAGCCTTTGTATGTTATAAAGGATTTAAACTTTACCAAATGGACGTTAGGAGTGCCTTTTTAAATGTGATGATAAAAGAGAATGTGTTTGTAGAGCAACCCCCAAGTTTTGAGAGTTATCAATTTTCAAATCATGTTTTCAAATTAAAAAAGGTCTTATATGGATTAAATAGGCACCTAGAGCTTGGTATGAGAGACTTAGCACATTCTTATTGGAGAGGGAGTTTATTAAGGGAAGCATAGATATCACCCTTTTTCTGAGAAAAGTAAGAGATGAGTTACTCATTATTCATATATATGTTGATGATATACTTTTTGGATCTTCTGATAAAAAGCTATGTGATAATTTTTCTAAAATAATGATCAAGGAGTTTGAGATGAGTATGATGGAAGAGTTGTCCTATTTTTTGGGGTTTAGCATAAGATAATTGGATGATGAAACCTTTCTAAATCAATCAAAGTATATAAAGGGCATCTTGAAGAAATATGAAATGGATAAAACAAAACTAATGAGTACTCCTATGACCTCCAGTAGAAAGTTGGATAAGGACTCAAATGGAAAATCTGTTGATCAAAACAAGTACAGAGGGATGATTGGATCTTTACTTTATTTGACTGTTAGCCGATCTGATATAATATTTAGTGTTTGTCTCTGTATTAGATTTCAAGCTGATCCTAAAGAATCCCACCTGACTATTGTTAAGAGAATTTTTAGATACCTTATGGGGACCCAAAACTTAGGAATTTGGTATCCTAGGCATAACACTTCTTTTAAGATTATTAGATATTCTGATTTTGATTTTGCAGGATGTAGGGTGAATAGAAAGAGCACTTATGGGACTTATCAATTCATAGGATAATCTTTGGTCTCCTGGTCTAGTAGAAAACAAAACTCTATTGCACTTTCCATGCTGAAGCTGAGTACATTGCCCAAGTCCTTTGGCTAAAGCAATAAATTCTGGATTTAGGATTACCTATAGGCACAATTTCAATCATTTATGCCAACACTAGTGCCATCTACATTTCTAAAAATCCTATCAAATATTCAAGGACCAAACATATTGATATATGGCACCACTTTATTAAAGACCATGTGACTAAAGGAGACATTGATTTACATCATGTAACAATTGAGAATCAACTAGCTGATATCTTTACTAAACCACTAGCTTTTGACACATTCAATATCTTAAGAATCATATTAGGTGTGATTAACATAAATGCATGAACTTGATACTAAATTCTGATATTTATGTTTTTTTTTTCAGTTTATTTTATTTTTACTTGCTTTTTTTTCATGTTTATTATTTTAATATTTTCTTCTTTTTTTAATCATAGCTAAAATGATATTTAATACTTTATTTTTTATTTTTAAAAATTTGTAGTCAATATTTTGACATCCCTAAATCAGTTAGAGGGAAAAATATGGTAATTGATTCCCTTCCTCTAAACTTCTTTTAGTGGTGTAATTTTCTTTTTTTAAAAAAAGTCTATCTTAAATTAACAATTAAACTTTATAATTATGATTATGGACCTCCAAAAGAGCACCGCGCAAACGGGTCAATTGGAAGGGACAGATTGGATCGTGCATGCGACTAACCACTGAGGATAGAGGCTGTCGCCAACACACCTCGATGGGTAGTAATATACACGACCTAATCACGGGTTTTTCCACCCGATACAACAGATCGAGTGGGGTTTAATAGATGTGGGGCCAAGTTTCCCACGGGCGCAAGACCCCGTGGTTAATTACATCTTAGGCCAAATCCTGAGAAAACTCTCGATTAAGGATCATACATTATCCCCTCCTAAAGTGGGATTCGCACAGGGATAAAGACTAGGAAATCCTACTCAAAGGAAAGAAAGGTCTCAAAGAGGCTCAATCAACATGCGTGGTTCATACCAACACTTGGAGGCTCTTTGGTACTAGAGATAAACTGGAGAAAATAAAGGATCAAGCAATCAATCACAGGCGTAAGAGAAGGATGGAGGTGGCGTCATCCTGTGACGTAGATAAGTAGGATTTATAGTCCCTGAAATAAAGGGACCTACCTACTATTTAAGGCATACTAGGAGAACGAATGTAGTAGCCTCAAATTCTAGATCTTGGTTGGGCTTAGTGTTCTACAAAACATTAAGACCCGTGTCCTAGCTAATGCAGTGCAAAACCTGGACTTACCCCGGCCTAGATTGGGGAGCCAGCTAACCACCTAATCGCTTTAAAACCATGCTATCAAGTCAGTTATGAAAGATGGGTGGGTGGCACAGTTCTTTGGAAATAGGACCGACATCTATAGAATTTTCTAAGTGGTCCTGGACTTATGTGAGTCATATGCCTCTAGCTAATGCAATTAAGTTTTATTTAGTTAGTTTTTAATGCAATACATGCTAGTTGAAATGTCAGCTTATGAATGCTATAGAATTTTTAAAAAAAAATCAGGCTTATAGAAAATAATTTTTAGAAAAGACTGAGTCTCCCTAGGTCCGGCACTTCATCCTTATAGGCCAGATTATCCGGACTCTACCCACAGGCAGGGAGATGTCTTATAACATGGAAAGAAGAATGTAATAATATGCATGCAGCTCTGGACGGTTCTGACAATTCCCTAAGTTCGTTAAGTTTCTATGTTATTTAAAACTTTAGGAGTTAGTTATGAGTAGAAAAATTTTGTAATCCATAAAAGTGCCTAACGAAAATCCAGAAGAAAGCAAAAACGGCATGCAAGCAAAAAACCTAGAAAAAGCAGGTAATTCTACTACTCTATCAGGTAAACACATCAATATAAATCCAGAATAATCAACTAAATGGCCATAGGCAAACTGCCCTTATTACAACCCAAATATGCAGAAAGTAAAGTTGCCGGACACCACTGCCAACAACCCGGATTTCTAATCCTATGACAGACGCAAATGACTTTGAGTGGGATATTGGTCTTCAGTCTTCTCGGTGTCTTCTTCTCCTTGGACTCCATGGAACTCTCCTCATTGGACTCCTTGGATCTCTGCTCCTTGGGCTCCTTGGATCTCTCCTCCTTGGACTCCTTGGATCCGTCGTGGCTTGAATATCCAAATGAAGAGACAATTCTCCCCTTTGGGGATGATTTCCTTTTCTATTTGGATATCTAAATCCATCCAACTTGATCTTCCAAATGAAAGAAGACTCCCCTTTAGGGATGCATTCTTCTTTTGGAATTCAAGTTGGATAAGAATATCCCACTCAGAGTGCATCAACTCTTAATTATTATTACAAATTTTACATCCATTTGAAAAAAGGAAATTCTACACTCCCTGCATGGTCATCATAATAAAAATCACAAGTAGTTTATATGAAAATAAAAATTACTCAAACCATTGACCCTGTGCTAAGCCATGCTCTTAATTATGAGGGCTAAGTGATCCACCTGTGCAATTATAATTATTAATTTAGCCCTCATTTTATTTAGGGGGAGTTGAGCAAGCACATGCATAAAATATTATTAGAAATCGTGATAATGCTCCCCATTTATTAGCTTGAATATGGCCACCTGCACGGAAGAATAGTATATATATATATATATATCATTCCTAACCTAGGGGTAGATCTAGCGCTCATCACATCACAGAGTGCAGGAAAAGTAAACAAACACAGCAATTCAATTTTCAAACAGCATGCAGTGAAAACCACGAAAACGCTGTGACCCC